TTCATAGCATCTCCTTTCCAGTATAATTGTTTATTGTGCACTCATCAAGTTAGTGACATGTATTAGATCAGTGTTCATTGATGATGTTTGTGCTCAATAATTTATATTGTAAATATTGTAGTTATTTATCTACTTATCTTTTGAATCAGCATTTATAATTCTATAACTCCTTATGAGTTTGTTTCTGTTATCACCAACATTCTTCATTCCTTGATATCCTTTCTTCCTTGCAGCTAATGATATTAGCGTTGGGAATCATCTGGCTTCATTGAAGTCTAGTCTATTTATTACGAGAACAATTGTGTGTTGGCCTCATATGAAAGGAATTTTTGGTTGATTGTTAGATGACTTGACAGCAACTGTTGCAGGCAACTAATCGCAGCTAGAAAACTGAAATCAGCGAAAGTCATCAATTACATAAATACGCTCTGGAAAACAAAAGCGACTGAAACGTTGAAACTTCCAAAAAGGCATTCCAAACGACGTCTGCCATCGTGTTCAAGTTCCATCGTAACGCCAAACGATAATTCACTTGCATCTGAAAGTAGCTCGTTCAACGTGTTCAGTGAATTAAGTGAGTTGTCGTGAAGATTGCTCATAACAATCATGGTTGTATCAGCTACAATGTATTTGTGCTTCCATACGATATCTTGGAATGTGTCTAGGATGCTTTTCTCGTTGATTGTCCATCAAAAGAAACCAGTAAATTTCAGTTCCCCAAGAGACAACACACGAAACGGTTGTGATCGACGATTCAACACTTCTTGCCGATAGAACAATTACCGATGAAGATGATCTGGAGATCACACTTGTTGATGAAGTTTGTTTTTTCGTGAACTGTTTTCGTTCTGATCTGATCCAGATTGAAGCCGATCACAGAAATCGATTTTTCGATGGGGTGGGGAAGGGAAGGGAAGGACGAGGAGAAAGGTGTTCAATTGAGAGTTCTTGCTCAAAATTTGGTGGTAGTCACATTTTAAATGAGTTTCCTCGATTCGAAATTCTCAGAGCAAAAGTCACATTTTCAAAGAATTTGTTTTGTTTCAGTTTAACACTGCCCATATCTTGGACAAAACTTTGACGCCAGCAAAGCGAAGAAGTAATTCACCGATTTTGAAGATTTTCCCACCAGACAAGCCAGCTGAACCGAAATCAAATTCTGAACTCAAGAACGATTGGTGCCAAAAGAATAAAAACCCTCAAACTGCAGATGACGATAGTTCTTCGTGGGTTTTCTTTCAATCTGTTAATTTTCGTTTGCCGTATAACTTGCCATCCGAATGATTATGACAAATGAATGCGGTTCTTACATTCGATCTTTCACAATCAAAAGAGAGATTGACTGCAAACATGAGTGATTACTTCGGATCGTAGGTTGCATAGAATATCAAATTAATGGGCATAAAACAACAAGAGCTTAATTTCACGAAAAATGGTTTATCACCAAATCTTGTGAAGTTCATAGGTTTGAAAGACTGATCGTGAGGTAATAAAGGAAGGGAAAATTTCACCACCATCAAATTTCAGAGAATCTGGCGCAAGTGTTATAACGCTATCAGACAGTGAATCGGAATCAACGAATCTTCAAGGAGACTTTTCCACTAAAGTTTCGGTCAAAGAAATTGAGGTTCGATAGTTGTTACCTCAATAAATATTCACTTTTATCTGTTTGCTTTTTTCAGCATTTTAAGAAAGTTTTATTTCGGGACCAGTGAAGCAGTAAATATTTATTGTTTCGTTGGATTTGTTTTGTGAACTGCTCAAATCCGAATATTTAGAGAAGAATCTAATTTGAATAATTAGGAGTTATGTAGATAATACATCATTGTCAGTTGACGTATTACCGTCCGTCCTCTTCAGAATTCAAATGTTTTGATCAGTTACAGTGATTCTTGTGGCTTTTCCAAAGCCAATAATTTGATTATTTTTGAATGGTCACGAGTATTGAACACTGAAACGGAGGATAAAAACTCAGTCAGGTTTTCTTATCATTGAAATGGAACTGTCGTCTGTATGTATGTATCCCCGATCGGTTTTATCAAGTCGTATTAGTGTCTTAGAGAGTGCGCTTTTAAGATTTTTGCGTATTCACAAATGCTAAGTATGGTTAAGTCACTGATTTATTCAGCGTATAACCTAACTTTGTAAAATCCTAGGTGATTGAGATTGATGATAACGATGAAGGTGAGCCATTAAACGGACAAAAACTTCAAGTAGGTTTTACTTCTTCAAAGATTTTGAATTTTAATTCTTTCTGGTTTGTCGGTAATTAGTATTTTAGTTTTCATTTGCAGTTGCATATTGAGAACTGTATGAAATTGATAAGGATTGGAATAATACTGTCGTCGATTTTTAATGAACATAAAGTTAGCTCGAAATAACCACTTTATGCAGTAGTAAGCTCAAGCATTTGATGAGCATTCTCATATATCACTCGTGAGAGCAATCGAACATTAAGTGTTAATGAATGTAAGATCATCGATAGGCGGAAATATTGAATTCAGATATTGAGTTGAGTTCAGATATTGCTTGTGAGTTCAGTGAGTTCAAATTATCTGTTTGCATGCTTTTTTTTTGTAAATTTCAACGCCTTTCCTAACCATTTATCTGGAGTGGATGCGTGAAAAGAAAAATTCAAAATTTTGGCATTTCGAATGTGAATAATTTTTGGTGATTGAAAAAGAGAAAAATTTGCAATTCGAGCTCATGATTCGATAATAGACAGTGTTAATGTTGAATTTGTGAGATAAGATGTAACCAATTCTAAGGAGCGAGCATCGAATGTGAATGATTTAACGATAATCGAAGAGAACGATGTATTTGTTGTGGCCAACTTCAAGGACAGGAGTCTAGGAGCCAACACTCATAAACAGCCATCATCCACTGCGCGAGGCATAAGCATATTGCCGAAGGTTCCAATTATATTTCGTGAATTCATTCTAGTCCCTTCATGTCTTTAAATGTTATCTGCTGGCATGGTCCACACATGTGCCGAAAAACACTTCTGAAAGAGTGAATAGAAAGATTTTTGGGGAACGTCGAATTATTGTCTACGAAAATGTGTGGAAAAGGGATGGAACAAAATGTTTCGATCATTTTCGTCACTGTTGTATTAACGATCGTTTGGGGAATTCAGTGCTTATATTCTTCTCTATTTGCCTACGATACGTAATGAAAGTTTTTAGGAAACTAAATTTTTGAATTTTAAAAATTTTTCGATAAATTTTACAATTTAGCGATTCAGGATGACTTAACAATAGTGGATGAAGGTGACGCGTTTGTTGTTGTAAACTTTGCAAAAATGGGTCTAGCCAAGTGTAAGGGACCAGCGCGTAACGTGAATGATCTAACGATACTCGAAGAGGGCGATTTATTTGTTGTAGCAAATTTTGCGGAAAAGAATCTAGCCACTACCACTATTAGCTCAGCATCTAGTGATCGAGAAATGAGCGTATTACCGAAGGTTCATATTACAGTTTTTGATAATTTCATGTTGCCTTCTTCATTGTTACGTTTAGCGAATAATGTATTAAGTTAGTTTATCTAGACAACAGCAACGTTACCACATCGGCGTGTTTGTTTGAACGTTCGTTTGCGGATTCTTTCAACACTGCAATATTGAGCATTATGGTGTTTATAGTATTTGATTATTGTAGATTGATAGAGTGTTCTCTTTGGATTATTTTTTGGAATTAATATCGTTTGCGTTGACAATGAGTTCTCTTTTCTTTTTTAAAAATTTTTGCTGATATATTATCGTTTGCGCTGAAAATATTTCTCTGGTCATTGCGAGTGTGATTTCGAAAAGAGGCCGCAGCATAAAGCGATTATGATTTTTATTTCTGCACATATAATCGTTGTCATAATCGTGCTTGAAATTTTCAAAATTTTACTGAATGCCGTTTATTCTGCATTCATTTGCGCACAACTGCAAGTGGTGATCATTTCTGTGCAGCTGTGATTTTTTGGTCACTTGTCGCAGATAATCCTGGTTTACATGAAACTCGGACGGTGAATATGGCATTGAACGAGTGAAAAATTTTTTGAAATTCACGATCGAAGTTTAAAAGATTCAGTCGTGAAAAGGGATCGATGATTTGTAATAATGAAAGCGATGAAGAATAGCGCAGTTAGGGCATGAATGAACGTTGTTTTGCAAGTTGAATAGAAAATTGGAATATCTTTTCAGTTATGAAGTAAAAAAATTGAAAATTTCAAGTGGTTTGGGAGGTGAGACATTTCAGTTATCGTTTAGCTGTTCTCCTCTTATCGTATAGTTTTGTTTTGTAGTGTTTTCTTTTCTCAAAATCAAATTTCCAGGCTTCTACTTCGTCATCCAAAGCGTCGTGCATTAAAAAGTCATCTGAACAGGACAAGAACGCGACTCCTAATCAGCAATATCCCGCAACATCCAAGGATATATCGCAATTTCAGAAGCCTTCTGAACTGTCCAAAAAGACGAATCTAACTCAAAATCCGCCTATCGCATCTACAAGCACCTCTCAAACTCAGTATCTATCATATAATAGTTTGAATGCTTCGTGTTCTGCTTACTTACAACACTACTCACAAACAGTGCAAACGTCGTTAGCAAATATTCAAATCCCTCGTCCCTACGGTAAGTGCTGATTTGTATATTTTTTGAAGTTTTTTTGACACATTTAGTTGTGAATATTGAAAATCCGTTTCGCTCGATGGATGAAACTCATTGACCAGCAATTACTTCAGAGTCAAAGTCCAGAAAGCTAAAGTTGTAATTCTCATGGTTTACAACTCTCTTGAATTCACTTTCAAATTCTCAGCTGTGGTTCACCCATTCGATTTGTCGTATTCATCGCGTGAATGTAGCCTTGTAGTGATAAACATTTCTTAGTTTCAGACGGAATGCTTTTCACTGATTCACTCACTGAGGGAACGGCGAGAATATGTCATACACTTTTGAGGCGATGGGTTTACCTTAGGGTAAATTTCTTTTGCAGTTGAAATGTTTTTTAAATCAAAATCGGTTACCATTATCTATCCGTTAAGTTAGTCATCGATACTTTGTCATTTGAGATGAGTATAAACGCATGAAGGAAATTAAGCTAGAGTGCAGATACAGATATGAGAAAGCAGTTCGACGTGGAACAAAGCTCATGCCTGAAGCTACATGTAATTCTCAAATCAGTCATCAAAAGTATCAGAGACTGAGGAATTCATATGTATCATGCCATTTTGTGGAAATTTATTTTATTTGTCGTTTCAGCCACTTCAGTCGCCTATCGCCCCTGCACGGCGTGCCATTCGAATATGTAGTTACAACGTTCTTTGTCAAGATACCATCGCCAAAACATTGCACCTCTATCGGCACCTAGCGTATGTTTCAGTTTTTTTCAGAATTTTGATTCGGACTCTTTTTTTGGTGCAATTATCGATGTTGTAGGGTCCACAATTGAATTAGTCGTTTGTTGAAATCAATCAGCAGACGAACCACGATACCATGAAGAATGATACGGAGTGATTTCTAATACAAAACGCTCTGCTTAAATACAGTTGCTGTTTATATACCGATCAAACATTTAGATCAATTACAATGAGTATCACAGTTCATGTCACCCATTGATACTTGATCATATAGATCATATCACAGGAATCGATAACATAACAAAGTGATGTTGAGTGAATGTTGAGATTACAGATGTGCAGAACGTGCTTATCAACTCGAGTGGGGGTATCGCTCGATGTTGCTGGCGAGGGAGTTCGGAATGATAGCTGCGGATATCTTCTGCTTACAAGAAGTTGAACAGAGTCATCTGTATAGTTTCTATGTGCCTGTCTTCAGCAAACGTAAGTGAATTGTTATCGGTCAACAATGCATAAGGTCATTCAGTATTGCGTGGAATTGTTGTCCACCATTCAAGCACATTCAATGTAAATTTGTTAATCTGTTCTTATTTGCGAAACGTTCGTCGTAGTTCTAAATGCTCATAAAAATTGGATCGAAACAACTATTGAAGAGTCATTCATGACAGTGCAAAATTTTATTCATTGCAGAGCTTTGAAGAGAGTTCAGAGATTTTGAATTTGAATGTATATTCCGGTGCACTGAAAATTTTTTCGCATATTGTGTAAACTTGGCCAAGCATCGGTACGATCAGCTATACTTGGCGTATGACTGATTAAATAAGTGTTGTTGCAGTTGGCTATAGCGGCTTATACAAAAAACGCACGAGAGATATGGTGGATGGATGTGCCATTTTCTATAAATCCAATATGAAATTACTGTCGAATCAACCAATTGAGTATTTTTTCGGTGCAGATACAGTTTTGGATCGTGATAATGTCGGTACGATATAGCGCGTTTTGTTGAAAGTTTTTATTTTCAGTTGAATTGTTCATTTATTCAGTTGCTTTTATTCCAACTACTCACTGTTCATTACAAACGTTTTGATTGTAAGGGCATCATAACGGTTTGCCGATCAGCTAGTTTCACACATTTTTGAACGAAATTAATTTGTTAATGAGCAAAATCTGCATCGTTTCTGGTCACGGAAAATTTTGGTAGATTAATTGTGGGTTGCAGCCGTTTTGTTTCTCTTTAGTATTTCCCACTGATGAAACGAGAGTAATGTTTGGATATATTGTATTTGAATATTTCAGCGCAGATAGCTCGTTTCGAAGACGTTCATTCTGGACGTCAAATATGTGTTGCGAATACGCATCTTCTGTTCAACATGAAACGTGGTGATGTGAAATTGGCGCAGTTGGCAGTGTTGTTGGCTAATTTAGATAAGGTATTTATAGTATCGATTAATCTTATTTCAACTGTTCTCATTCGAATGTGCAAGAAATATGAGTAATTTTGTTTCTAAGGAATGTGGTCCAGAGTCGGGTCGCTCTTGTCCATACGTGATCTGTGGTGATTTCAATATGAAGCCGAACTGTAAAATTTATGAGTTCATAAGGAGCGGGCAAATGTCATTCAAGAACGCCAGAAGAGGGACGATATCAACGAGTGAAGATAATTTCACTCAAGGTCCACTTCTATATCCAGGCTTCATGCCTTCTGAAACGAACATTGGTCGTGATTGTCGATTTGTGAATAAGAAAGGTACTGTGATTTAAAGATTCTCGAACATTTGTTTGTAATTGTTTCAAGTGGATTCGTATATGATTATCAGTTATCTATTAGAATTAGACAATTTCTTCGCTTGAACTGACAAACTGTTATCATTGAGCTTTAGGTTCTTTAGTTGATGATGTATTTGAGGTATCCATGCTTTTGACTCGTACAGTTTCATTGAAGCTTCATTTAGAAGGGAATGGAACGAACGTAAAAGGACATGACAATTACTGGACACATCCTCTGAAGCTGGGCAGTGTATATGACCATGTCGCAATTGATAGCCAAGAAGTGAGTTTTGATGCTGTATTCTGTATGAATGTCTTTGCATTTAACAAATCGAGTCTATTGAATTGAGATTTCAAAAAGGGGTTTTCGTTTGTTGTTGTTATTCTCGTTTGTTGCAATTGTTTGATTCTTCTTCTTCTGAATTTTGTTCAAATTTCACTGCAATCCTACTGTTTAAGCCCGAAGTCTCAGCATATTCGTACGAGGGTACTTCCAATCCTGATTTCATGTTTTATTCAGTGAAAAAACGAAATTTAAAGGTTCGTTGATTTACATTTTTGTCATTTTTGCGCTATTTTGCACTTGATCGCCTTGTTTNAAATTTGACCTGAGCAGATATTCGTATTTGGTATTACTTACATAAACAATCGTGTGGAGTAAATGCAAGCAAAATGTTTTATATAAGACAACATCGGAATAAAATCGAAGTGCATTTCAGGAAGGTCCATTGCATCTTGTTCGCCGCCTGAGTCTTCCAGCTGCGAGTGCGCTTTATTCAACGTTAGGACCGTGGCCGAACGAAATAACACCTTCCGATCATATACCTCTCGTCGCTGAATTTCATTTGCTTTAATTATAACGCGTTCAGTTTGAATATTTCAGCATTGATACGTTAAATCATTAATAATAATTGTATTAATTGTAATCTGCCATTCTTTTATCTGTTGCTTTCTTGTGAAGTGTTATGTAACATCTTGAAATGTTTTTTTGACATATGAACTTCCTCTATAAGATAAAACTTGAGATTGTTTATTTTCGCACTTAAGGCTTTATAATCTTATCTCTAGCAGTTTATTCTTTTTCGTGGTTACTATCTTTTTTTGACAATATAGTTGATTNTGTTTTGGTATTGTTAATGCTAAACGCTCAACAAGTGACAACTATCGAACGTTTGTGATATCTTTTCCATTCATATGGAATGTTGGAAAATCTTTTTGCTTTTTAGGCGATTTTTCTTAATGTATTTGATAGGCAAATGAGTTATTGTTTTATAATTTTTCGATTCTTTTGATTTTATTATATGCTGATCGAATGAGTCCATTGGTAAATGTTTATTGTCATACTTTATTCATTTACGTTCATGTTCTAATACCTCTCAAACAAGGAAACAGTTGTTCCTTCGAGTTTTCAGATTTTTTGTAGCATTTTATTTGTTTCTCTGTGTTTTTTTCGTTTATGAAAAATTATAGTGATGATAGATGGAGAATTCTGTAGCAAAATATTGTGAATATATGTGCAAATTGGTTTTTGAAGTGTGTGCACTTAATTTATTGTATATACTTAGGTAAATGTTAAGTGAATGGTGTGTTTTGGTAATGCGCTCGATATCGGTTTGTTTTTTTTGGTATGAACAGTGTGCTATTGGAATGTTTCATTAAGTTTTTTAAAAGCTATGAAACGATTTTACTTATTCCACTTATTTTTCTTACTCGTAATTCAATAAAAAATCATATTATTGGAATTGTTTTGTGAATTTTTAGAGTTATTTTAAGTTAGTTTGCTATTAGCTGCAGGCATGTTATATTTTTGAATGTATTATTTGGTCGTTGATGAGTTCAGTTCAGCTTACCATCCAAAACATATATTGCACAGTGTATTAGTGAGCATATATAAGAGTGGTTTTTTATTGTATCTTGAGTTGTCTTACTCATGATGAGACGGAAATTTTGATTGGTTATGGAATGAGTAATTCTCTTCTCGTGGCATGAGCATTGAGCTGTTTTATTCTATTTGTTTTTTGGTGAAATTTGTTCTAATTGCATACAAATTCAAGATTGATTCTGATACGAACCATCTCATGTCGAGTTCGAAGAAGAAGAAATTGGTCGTTGAATGCAACGATTGTTATTGTTTTGTACTTGCAAAAGATTTGGAACGTCATAAGGTTTCGGTTTGCTCCATTTTATTATTTAGCATTATAAAGGCAGGAGCTTCAGTTCAGCTTACCATCCAAAACATTTTCTGTGATCCGTGATGAGCTCTGTTTTCCATCGGAGCTCTGTTTTCCATCGAGGTGAAATTACTCCCGTCGAGCGATTCCTTGTTCAATATACGATCACAAATACACCTCATAAGAGGAGCTAACTGTAGTGTTTAAGAGGAACAATATCTGAAGACCTGTACTGGTCGCACATGGTTTCTAAAAAGTATTATTAAAGAGCTCTAGGCCCTTCCTATCGTGACCATCTCAGTTTATTTTTTTCATCACAAAGACTTGATCAACGATGCATTCATTCATAAGCATTGGGCGTTTAAGGCTCAGTGCGGTAGCACGGATATCTTCACATGCGATTTTCAACTCATATCGCCATCAAAACTGCTCATCGCTCGTGCGCAATCCATCGATAAGCCAGAAACCTACCTACCACCAGGTCTTTTTGGATGGCACAAACACATTGTATCGTTTGTGCATCCAGATACTTTAAGTCACCTAGACGTACTGCCTAGACAACCGTGTCTGTTGGAAACAGACACACAAGCATCTGTGACAACGCTTTGGCCTTGTGATCAGGTTCGATCCTATCATCGTTCATTTAAAAGCTTCTATGCACGTATGATTATCGACCTCAAGAGAGCTCAATTTTGTTCAGATCAGAGCTTTAGCATGAGAATGAGGAAACCGGACATATATCGGATATAGATATCTCTTATATAGATATCTCTGAAAAGCTTACGGATATAGATATCTCTTATCCGGTTTTGAATATGTGAAGAGAAGACGCACATCAAATAGGCTGAAAAACTTGTGCAAGCTGATTTTCGCCTGCTTCGAATCAAATATTCTGAACTCGAAGCGAATGAGCGAAAATGAATCCATCTCATATCTTACCGGAAGGAATTTGCTACATGGATCTCTGATCGATCATTAATGAGCTAGTGCATTGTTCATTGATCAAATTGATTTTATCAAGTGACCTAAACGTCTATCACGATTGATGTTTCTTTAAAAGTTTTAAAGCAAAGTTTCCATCAAGTTTTCATTTTGGTTATATACCTCGCCAGGTATCTCAAATGCGATTTTGGAATGCCGAATGCAGTGTGGATCGTTTAGTGCGAATAATCCCAATTCCACAATGTTCAATTTTGGAATCGCATCGAATCACATTGCAGCCATTGAAGCAAACGCGCGATTTCTATTCAACTGATCATTTCAGGTTACATTATTCAACTGTGGTCCGAAAGAGTGGTCAATATTATGCAAAAAAATTATCACATATGAAAATTTTTTCCAAAAATTGAGCTTTGCTTCGATTTTATCAACTAGTTTTTGCAATCAACTATACCATCAACTAATCAAAATATTGTCTGTTTTTATGGGAATCTAAATTTGTTCTTTCCAGGGAATACGTTAGTGGTTATTTGTCGAATAGTTTTCTGAGTGTATCCGAAACACTGAGCATTCCCTTCTATGGGCAAATTTGTGAATTTGCTCTCAGTGATCAGTTGGATTTGGAATTTGAGCAATTGAAAATCTCGGATGTTGATGAACAACACCGCAAACATTTACCTCCAATAGTACATTTGGCGAATGAATGCTCAGTGAAGATTTCCATGGAAAAAAGCAAAAGAGAAGAATTGTCCTTCTCGGAATTTGGTGGTGCAGAAAAAGCGAAATGTGATCTGCAAACCTATCTCATCTCACCTCTCAAGAAGTAAATTTTATCGTTGACTATCAGTCAGATGCGAGTTTTACTCTGTGTGCCCAATGCGTTCTGTACTGAGGACTGGGAAGAAACCGTTGCATAAAAATACCGTCCGTCATTAAATATACTCGCTGTATCATGGTTTCATCTTCGTTAATGAATTTACAATGCGATGCTGAGGTGTTGCATCGACTCGAATATGTTTTTCGTTCACTAAAAGCTCTGTACTCCTCAAACTGTTATTAGATATTCTGATTGTTTTGATCATTACCTCATCAGTTCCATGAAGTTTTCAATTTCAGTAAGAGAGACGCATGTTCAATCGTTGTGAGTGGTATATCTGGCTGTGGAAAAACATTGTTGTTGAACATCTTGAATGAACAATTGAATAGCCAAGCAATACGAATAGAAACGAATTTGGATTTATCTGAACAATTTTCAACATTACCAATCAATAGGAGTGATAGCAATTTTGTGATTATTATAGATGACTATGAAGAACTGAAACGAAAAACGAATTCATCCTGTGCCAATACTATAGCAAAGTTTGTCTTGTTTTTTTGCTCTCTCATTCACAAACGTAATTTTTTTTTCAACTGTTTTCATAAGGTTCTTTTGGGGCGATTTTTCGCGCCTGCTTCGGTAGTGTTCCCTGTTGAAGGGAATTAAAAAAAAGCCGGAATTCGGTCATTGGAAATTTCAAGGAATCACTCAAAATATGCGTGTGTATTGATATGTTTGTCTCCATAAAAATAGAATCCATCTTTTGAAGTAATCATTAATTAATGTAAACTTGAGCAAAATTGACGAAGGTTAAGTTATCGGTTTAGGTGAATTTCTTATGTTTCCACGTATGGTTTGCATCATTTGATAGAATTTGTCGATGATATTCAAAACAGAATTCAATATGTGAAATTTTAAGATTAATGGATACAGCTCATAATATGTCGGTTGTTTTGGCCGTTAGGCAATTAGACGATGTTGAGCTATCGTTGAGAAGACACTTCACTTTAGAAATTGAGCTTACAGTACCGTCGTTATCGGAACGAATTGATATATTGAAGATTCTGTTTCGCAAGAAACACAATATCACTTCTTCGCTCACAGAAACTATCAAAGATATTGCCAGGTCACCTCAACGTTTCAATTATTCTCCTTATTTTCATTTGAATGTAGCGCAATTTAATTTATACATCTTGCAATTGTTTTCGTGAAGTTTTTGCGTCAAATTTTGTGATGAGGCGATTTGAATTAGGATAGTAACAATATTTATAGCAATAGATAACAACAATAGTAATGAATACGATGATAATTGAACGATAGTGATAATGTTTGAAATCATATTGACAAGAATACTTACCTGGATTACCTGGATTGGCCAGGCTATCAAACGTTTGCAACGTTGCTGGCCACAATGCTCACGTTTCCGTGCGCATTGTTTTAGCCTCAGTTTACACCACCCTGCTGGCTAGGCGAGCAGGCCAGATATGAATAATGGAAGTTACAAAAATAATGCTCTCCGTTGACTGAAAAAGTTCCATACACTTATTGCTTGCTATTCAAAACCTGTTCTAGGCAAAGTCTTGCCTTGAAACATAAATTTGAAGCGTCTTTATTATCGCTTATTAATTGTACTTGAAACTGCCAGGAAGAAGTTGAGAATTTCAGTGGGACACATGGATTCACGGGTTCAGATTTGAAATGTTTATGTGAGTTAGCCGAAAAGAATCAAAGTGGGGGCATGAGCCTCGAGAAGAGCTTTGAAGAGGCTCGAAAACGTGTACGACCGACCGGAATTCGTCAGTTCGTTCTCGAAGTACCCGATGTGAGATGGGAGGATATCGGTGGTTATGAAGAACTTAAAACTGAGATTCAACAGGTGCTTGACTTGAAGCTTCNTTTTATGTTCTTGATAATACAGGCAGTTATTTGGCCTCAATCACATCCAGAAGCGTTCGAAAGGTTCGGTGTCCAGCCTCCATCTGGAATCCTACTCTACGGTCCACCCGGTTGTAGTAAAACTTTAGTGGCTCGTGCACTTGCCTCGCAGTCCCATCTGAACTTCTTGGCTGTCAAAGGACCCGAACTGTTCAGTAAATGGGTTGGTGAATCTGAACGTGCAGTTCGAGAGTTGTTCCGACGAGTGCGGCAGGTTCGATGGCTCAAATACATTCGCTTGAATATATTCGAATGAGTTTTTCGTTAAACTCAATTGCATTTTACACTGAATTCCAGTTGTTATCTCATTTCGTTCTATATGAAAATGCTGTACATCATGACATATACATGTGTACTGTATTACGTTATAAACGGTAATATCTTTGGATGAATTTTAATTCATATTAGATTATTGCGGTCATTGTAGATAATGGTTCATTATGATTTGTTACGTGAGGGAATTGGATTTGTAAGAGTTGATTGTCACAGAGATGTGCTCTAATTAATATTCTCGCATTGGATTCAGGTAGCACCAGCGATTTTATTTTTTGATGAAATCGATGCGATCGGCGTTAATCGAGGCGAGAAATCTGGTAGTGGAGTGGGCGATCGTGTTCTAGCGCAGTTACTCACGGAACTAGGTTATCGATGTCTCATTTGATTACAGTTTGCATTTCAAATAATTGCTATCATCAGATAAAGACATTATTTTGTTTTGTTCATTTTGTAACGAAATAATTTTGAAAACGGTAAGTGGTATCAACAGTAATGGTAATAACAATTGTAATATCATAACCGTATTGACAATACGGCTAATATTGTAATCGTATTGAAACTTTCATTTGACATCATTCATTGCGGTATACTTTTATTACTTACAATTAGGTGAAGTTAGAAGTGTGCAATAGTTTAATAGATTGCGATATATTTTATTGATGAAATCTCTGAAATGTTTTCTGTTCAATTGCTTCGGAAAGACTGTTATATCAATGATGGAGTTGAGTGGTTTAAGATGGCCTCGAGAAGAAAAGTGGCGTATTGGTGTTAGCTGCCACGAATCGACCAGACACCCTTGACAGTGCTTTATTGCGACCGGGTCGACTTGATCGTGCTATCTATGTACCATTACCGGACTCAAAAACAAGGTGCATATACCCATCACTATTGAGAACATTCACTTTATTGTAATCGAGTGCAATTTTATATGAGCACGAAAATCTGGAAATCACTTGTTGTTGGGAATATTCTAATTGACCAAACTGTCAAGCATTGCTACCCTTGTTCGCTAGAGTACGCTGCCACAATGCTATGGGCTTTCCATTTCTGTGTCACGTTTCCTTAGCTTTTCTTTTACTGTCCGGATTTATATCCTCGTGGTGATTTTCCGAGTGGATGTGTTTATTCGCTGGAATATGCAGAGTGAAGCCATATGGAGGTAGCCGAAATCTCTGCTGACTGCAGCATTTCCGTTGATTTTGTACAGCGGATAATGGGAAGTGGCACAATTGAAATGATGTGCGACTTCTGATCAATGAGCGCTCAGTCGAAATGAAATGATGAATCGTTTTCGTTTGCCCTCAAATTACTTCAAAGATGATTTCTTTCAAGAGAAGTTGAACATATTACGGATGGAGAAAAGACTTTCAAACATTAAGGCTTTCAATTCTGAGATTGCATTTGAATAAAATGCCGATAGCTGAAGACGTTGACATAAATAAATTGGCCGATCAAACAAACGGCTATTCGGGCGCCGAAGTAGTGGCGTTGTGTCATCAAGCCGCGTTAATTGCGATGCGTGAGGACATCAACTCGACACTTGTAAAAGTGGAACACTTCAAGTAAGTTAACGATCGTATCATTCAGTCTGAGAATAATAATAACGATGGTGATGATACTATAGTGATAAGAATGAGTATAATGTTAACGTTGCTCGTCGAGATTTATTCCGAATTTTTCGTTAATAATTTCATCTCAAATAATAGACAATGCGATGTTTTTGTGGTTCGAACTGGATATTTTATCGTCATCATCAACATTTTGCAGTTAATGTTTGTGAGAATTTCATTTCATTTCTGTTGAGTTTATGAAATGTTAAAAATGTTTTGATTTAGTTTTTTATTTGAATGATTTTCAGTGGCGCCTTTGAAGTGGTCAAACCTCGAACGGACAAGAAACTCGTCACCATTTATGAAAATTTTCAAAAAGGAGTATTCACATAGCGAATCGTGAAAAATCGCACTCTCCTTTCATTTTGTGTTTTATTTTTCATGTTCATTGCAGAGAAATTTTTTGTTATATGTGATTTTACTGCAATAAAAATGATTCACTTGTCATGAAATTTTCCATTTTCACAGTAATAAATACAATTCTCATCATTGGACGTAACAAACTTTGTTTATCTGATCAATTTATTTACTCATTGACCTTTCTTAAAGAGGAAATCATTGTTTATGTGGCTGATATAAGGGTTGTCAAGTTACTGAAAACACCTGAGGGTAGGGATCGCAAGAACATGACATCTACGAAACTCATAATCAATAGTACCGATTGTTATAGACGAGCAATTGAAATTGACATTTGACGACACGTTTACTTTTTTCAAATCACATGTCATCTTAAACGGAGATGATGTAATATATAAAAAAATGAAAAAATCTTAAAAAAGTGAAAAAAGAAAACCTGAAATAATCTAAGATCACCTAAACAGGACAACAAATATTATGTATGTATCATTTAAAAAATCATACAATGCGCACCGAACGATATTTTAGTGTCATTGCTGAATACCCATAATATCCATAGTCATCGTACATTGTACGTAACAAAACACCCAAAAAAATTGAAGTTTTCTTCTGACAACACAAAGTATTCTTAAAGTATGCGACATATACGATGAATATGAGCAAGTATTACGATGCTGATAAGAAAAGATTGCGTAAACATCACGTATGTGATATCCATAGTCAACGATACTTCACTCACTCAGATCAAGATTTTTATAAGATGTTGTGCGTCATAAAGTCGAGCCAACAGTATATGTGTTCTTCTTTTATCAGAACCTCAGAAGTGATATTCCCTTAGTTTAATACGATGAAATATCAGGATACTACCATGATCTGATAATA